TTTTCTGTAGAATGATCTGACTCTTACTCTCTGTCCTGTGAACAGAAGCGTGTCCTCCCCGCTGTGTAGACGGCTCCCAGGTTAGCAACGCTTTGGGCCTGGTGCTGAAGGGCGCCTGCGAACGAGGCACACGGGCTTCCCTTCTGGCTTCCTGGCAGACATGAGCTGTCTCTGTGCATCACTGTTCTGTGGGCGTCCATGCCCGGTCTCCCCCAGACCAACAGGGTCTCCTTGCTAGTAGTGTCATCAGACTCAGCTGGAAAATGATACCGAACTGTGTTCTGGCAGTTCCCGCTTGTGCTGTTCACAACGCCCGCTTGTGCCGTCTCTCTCTCTCTAGAGTTGCCACCCAGCCTAGTCTCTTCCCCCCCTGGGGATCACCCGGTTTCAGTGGGAGGTTTGAATCATCACACTGTGACTTTGCATTGCCTGAAGGACAAATACTGAATCCCAGCTTGTTTTTTCTTTTTGGCTGAGGCACGTAGGTTGTTTATGGAGTAATTGCACCGGCAGTTGTAGGCCCAACCCTGCAAGCCCTTCTTTGTGTGGGACTTCCATTGACCTAGGCGGGAGCGTGGTGCACAGCTGGCTTGCTGATGCCACACCTACCTGTTCGTACATAATCTTGTCTCATAGGCTCAAGCCTTCCCAACTCATTTCACTGGGCTGTTTCCTCCAACTCTCAGCTAGTCTAGTCCTTAGTCTCTGTTAGGCACTAGGCCACTGCCCCGTCAGAATCAGAAGACATGGTGATCCAAACCTACTGAAGCCATCATAACCTGCCCATCTGTACTATTACCCTGATAGCCCCATGGGATGAAATTTAATAGTGTAAGGTTATGCACTTAGGGGATAACAACAAGAATTTTTTCTATAACTTTGGGACTTATCAATTGGAAATGGCAGAGGAGGAGAAAGACCTGAGTGTGTTGGTCAATCACAGGATGACTGTGAGCCACCTGTGTGATAGGTTTGCGAAAAAGGCTAATGCAATCCTGGGGTGCATCAGGTGAGGTATTCCAGTGGAGATAGGGAAGCATTAATACCATTGTACAAGGCACTGGTGCGACCTCATTTGGAATGCTGTGTGCAGTTCTGGTCTCCCATGTTTAAGAAAGATGAATTCATACTGGACAGATACAGAGAAGGGCTACTAGGATGATCTGAGGATTGGAGAACCTATCATATGAGAGGAGACTTAAATAGCTTGGCTTATTTAGCCTAACAAAATGAAGGCTGGGGGAAGATATGATTGCTCTCTATAAACACATCAGAGAGATAAACACCAGGGAGGGAGAGGAGTTGTTTAAATTAAGGGCCAATATTGGCACAAAAACAAATGAGTATAAATTGGCCATCAATAAGTTTAGGCTTGAAATTAGATGAAGGTTTCTAACCGTCAGAGGAGTGATGTTTTGGAACAGCCTTCCAAGGGGAATAGTGGGGGCAAAAAAACCTAATGTAAGAACAGCCATATTGGGTCAGACCAAAGGTCCGTCTAGCCCAGTATCCTATCTTCCAACAGTGGCCAATGCCAGGTGCTTCAGAGGGAATGAACATAACAGGTAATCATCAAGTGATCCATCCCCTGTCACCCATTCCCAGCTTCTGGCAAACAGAGGTGAGGGGACACCATCCCTGTCTATCTTGGCTAATAGCCATTGATGGACCTATCCTCCATAAACTTATCTAGTTCTTTTTTGAACCCTGTTATAGTCTTGGCTTTCACAACATACTCTGGCAAGGAGTTCCACAGGGTTGATTGTACATTGTGTGAAGAAATATTTTCTTTTGTTTGTTTTAAACCTGCTGCCTATTAATTTCATTTGGTGACCCCTAGTTCTTGTGTTATGAGAAGGAGTAAATAACTCTTCCTTATTTCTCCACACCAGTCATGATTTTATAGACCTCTCTCATATCCCCCCTTAATCATCTCTTTTCCAAGCTGAAAAGTCCAAGTCTTATTAATCTCTCTTCATATTGAAGCCATTCCATACCCCTAATCATTTTTGTTGCCCTTTTCTGAACCTTTTCCAATTCCAATATATCTTTTTTTGAGATGGGGCGACCACATCTGCATGCAGTATTCAAGATGTGGGCATACCATGGATTTACATAGAGGCAATATGATATTTTCTGTCTTCTTATCTATCCCTTTCTTAATGATTACCAACATTCTGTTCACTTTTTTGACTGCCACTGCACTTTGAGTGGATGTTTTGAGAGAACTATCCATAATGACTCCAAGATCTTTCTTGAGTGGTAACAGCTAATTTAGACCCCATCATTTTATATGTAAACTTGTTTCAAGACTGATAAGTTTATGGAGTGGATGGTATGATGAGGTTGTCTAGAATGGCCCATCCGTGATTGCTATTAGCAAATATCTCCAATGCCCAGACATGAGACACTATCCAAGGAGGACTCTGAGTTACTATAGAAAATTCTTTACCAGGTGTCTGGCTGGTGGGTCTCACCCATTGCTCTAAGACTAACCGCCATATTTGGGATTGGGAAGGAATTTTCCTGCAGGTCAGATTGACAGAGACCTGGGAGTTATTCGCCTTCTTCTGCAGTGTGGGGCAAGGGTCACTTGCTGGTTTGAATTTGAGTAAATGGTGGATTCTCTGTAACTTGAAGTCTTTAAATCATGATGTGAGGACATCAGTAATGCAGCTAGAGGTTATGGGTCTATTACAGGAGTGGGTGGGTGAGGTTCTGTGGCCTGCGATGTGTAGAAGGTCAGACTAGATGATTGTGATGCTCCCTTCTGGCCTTCAATTCTCGGAGTAGCTCCAGGTAATTCAAATCTAGGGAACAATACAGCCTCCTGCAAT